AATCAAGAATTGAAATAAAACACTTTAAAGGTTTAAAACTACATCTCCCCGTGACCATAGATGCTGCAAAGAATACGTTGGGCCGTGGTTAGAAATAGTTTTCAAATAAGTTTAACTAATATATATCGCATTTCAAACCGTTAAAGTGTTTTAATTAAATGTCTACTCGTGGAAAATATAGTCAGTATTAAATCAATCAAGTACTTTTAATAAAAGCGCTCTTTTGCGTTACTTATGAAAATTGTTATTATTCGTGTGCCATCATAATAACATAAATGTCGTGAACATTAAAGTATGTATTTGGGAGATATATGAACTTCTCTAATGCACTTTGTCCCGTCCTAAAAGTTAACTTAATGGCTCTTTGAAGCGCCTCTCGTGAAAGCAACTTGGAAAACGACGTGACTAATGATATGCAACGGAATTACATAAAGACGTGACTATATGGCTCTACTGGTGATACTTGACTGAGAGTGGCGTGGGATTCGATTTGGGTCTTAAATGAATATTTCGAGTATGTAGGATGCTCGTCTTTCTTTCTTCGAGTGCTGTAGCATGTAAAACCGAATTTCCTGGTTATCATCATTATTTTGTTACGATAGAGGAAGACAGACAAGAATATCATGATAAAATGTGTTGTCGACCTGTAATTCGGCTTTAGATATTTTGTGACTCGGACGGTATTTCGATATCATATCGATAATATAGATTTTCAGACGAAGTTGCAACATATTTCAGAAAAATTGAAAATTATTTAAAAACATCTTGGACCCTATGGGGATCGAATCACGACCCATAAATGATTATTAGCGCGACAAGATTTTGATTAGAAAATACTGGGACAAAAAGAGGGGGAAACCTATGCCCAAAAGTGGGTGGTTAACAGGATGAGATGAATAAATTGTGTGAGGCTTTCAGGGCGATCGTTAAGTTTATTATTGTTTTTTCGGCCGACGTAAGCGACAAGAGGTTCTCGACGTTTTGCCATCACGAGCGGACGGCATCCTCAGGAGATGTTAGCTCCTCGATAGATCAAAGAATTATAGGCTGAGATAAAATGTGACTATCTCTTCTAGTAAAACTATATCTCGAACGGCTAGCGAAGAACGCAGCTGCAAACTATACGAGCGGACGTAACTACACAAAATCCGGCCTAACGAAATAGAAAATACCATTACTCTCTCCGTGACAGGGAAAGCCAATTTTTCACTGCACCTTTTGTATAATTTCCAGCGTGTCTTAAATAATAAGTGAGTCTTTACATCTTGCTTTCAAAATAATACTCTTACATCTATAATAAGTTCATGTTAATTAAGATAATTAGTATTGTCTAGCATTGCGTTAAGCGCGAGAGGTCCTGGGTTCCAATCCCAGGGAAACATAAAATTGTTTCGGTTAGGCAGAGCACAGAATTCTGATCAACCACTTGCCCCACAGCGTATCGTGTCGTAAAACGTGGATACTAGTAAGCTCGAAAAAAAAAATGTAATAAGAGATGACAGTATATAACATCAAAAATACGTTTCGAAGATGCTTCTATGTATTTCTATACATACATTATCTGCGTAACGTTTTTTATAAGTACGTTTAAACAAGCATATCAAATAAAAAGATTAATAATTCAACACATTAACTTAATAATCAAATTTAGTTAGCTGTATGTTTTCGATTTTTAGTAAAAGTATTTTTTAAATTTCAAAAGACTCTTTTCCAACTCGCCGTCAGTCACGCATTCAGTAGCTACGCCCATTTTTAAAAGTCACAATAATTTCGCGATACATACCTACGGGTTAATTGTAAATTCAATGTGTTAATTTTATTTATGCTTACTAAAAATGTAAATTTATATTTAATTTTAATAATACCGCACTACTACTGGTTTTAGTTTACGCGAGTAGTACACATTAAAATAGAACACTTTAACTGTTTAAAACGCGATAAACATATATTAATTAAAATTAAACTCGTTTCCCTGTGACCACGCTTTCTGCAAAGAATCCGAAACGTCAGGTTGTAGTTAATATAATTCTCCAATAAATGTAACTAATATATATCGCGTTTTGAACCGTTAATGTGTTTTATTGAAATAAATACTTTTCTATCTTGTATATTAATAATAACAAATTACACACTCACTTGATACACACACCACATAAAGAAGTCATCGAATAGAAGTCCTTTTCAGGATAATATCGCAGTAACAAAAGAGAAGAATTCAATTTACCCGATGGGCCAACATGAAAAATAGCTGGAGTGATATATTTCACGGCCAGACGCTCGTTTCACTGGTCCACAGCAATCTTGGGACATTCAAATTGATGGTAAGGGTACGTTTCACCATTAGGGGGGCCTTATTAATTCCCCTTTCGACAGGACGACCGAAGAGGTCATAAATTCACCTCAACCAAAGGGATGACCAATTTCGGAACAGTTACGAGCCACAAATTGCGCGACCGCTGAAATATACTCGCCCGAAGTACCGGGCGATAGAAGAAAAAGCCCAAATGTTAATTTAATTATGAAAAGAGAGTAGTACACTTTTAAAAACATTAACGGTTTAAAACGCAATATATATTAGATAAACTTTTTTGAGAATTATTTTGAGAAGCAGCAGAAGTCTCCCAGTGACCACGGCCGCTACAAAGCATCCGTAACGTCGGGCCGTAGTTAGAATAATTCTCAAATAGATTTAACTAATATCGCGTTTTTAACCATTACAGTGTTTTATTTAAATGAAAACGAAATCGCTTTAGTATTCAAGATAGAGGAATACAGGCTTCCATCCGCGAAAAGGTCCGGCTACTAATTTTATGCAGGGTAAATGAGCTGTGAGTAAAACGTCGAATCGATATTCATTTGGCGAAAGGTATAATTATGTTGATGTAAAATGATATTACGCGAATTAACAACGGTTGCTTCTGTGTAAATTACAAAGAACAGTCTCATTTAATTTAACCTGATAAATGGTGGCGAAAACAGAGTAGTGTTCAAATATACATAACTACAGTTCATTGGTGTAGAAGTCGAGTTATATTCCGTATTCGAGTATGATGGTGTCTTTGGTGAGTTGGCACTAAGCAAACAACTCAAAATTTTATTTACTTAATTTTAAATCAATTTATACTAATATATAAAGCTGTAGAGTTCGTTTGTCTGTTTGAACACCTTTATCTCAGGAACTACTGATTCGAGCTAAACAATTATTTTTGTGTTGAGAGCATTTATCAAGGAAGGCTATATATTATAAAACTTCCCGATGTGACTTATAAAATCCTTTCTTCGCTCAGCGGGACATGTGAAGAAAACGCGGAAATTATTCAACCTTGAGGGTTTTTTTTTGCGTACGCTACAAAAAAGGTTCAAGATACCCAAAAAATAAATAAGAAAGAATGATTCCTCTTTAAATAATTTTTATGTCCAAATTACTGTTCTACGCGGAAAAGTGGTAGCATAAGTGGCTGACATAGGTAGTTCTTTATAAATCAACAATATTTAACCTCAAATTAAACAAAAAGTATTTTATTCAATAGATTGAAGTTGTGCAAGAAAATGATACAATATAACAAGCAAAATAACAAAAAGTTTTGTAATTTTAATGTTGTATTGTTAATTGTCACTGTCAAGTCAAATATTCTTCATCTGTGGGATCCAGAGACTAGAGAAACGGAAGAGTTTCTCTAGTCTAGTCTAGTCTAGTCTAGAGAAGACTAGAGAAATAAAAGAGTTTTGTACAAAAAAAAATTAAGACCCATTACATAAATGATACCTTAAAACGGAATAACGATAAAAGCAGGAATTTCGAGAAACATTTTTCTTTAAGCTGCTCGTCTTTGAGAGAAAATTCTTTCTCAATATAAGTATTATATTCTATAATGTTTTTATTTAATAAGACTTCCGTGCGACTGGCAACTTACGAAGTCGAAAAAAAAACAAAACATTTTGTGCCAAGTTTTATTTGTTCCGATATATCAGCTTAGTTTGGTAACGTTCAGCTAACTGTTTTATCACTTTATTGCATGAGATGGCATAAACTTGCAAAGGCTTTGGTAATAAAATGTTAGTAGTTGGGTTCTGTATGGTAAGCTTGAGCGTTAAGAATTTTCTTTCCACAGATGCAAATAGAAAAACATTGGCATAGTTATATACTTCGAAAGTGGAGTTCGTAACGAGATACTTCCTTCGCCTAGTTATGTACATAAATGGAGCAAAGTTTCGCTATTAAATCAGATGTAATCTTCTCTATATCGGTGTAGGAACGAAATGTCATTTGTAGTTCTTCGTTTATTTACTTCTTGTTCGTGAAATTATATTGGAAACATTCAGATTATTAAATTATGCAATAATTATATTTTGGATGAGCAAGATAAGCCTTGTGCCATTATTTGTAAGTATTATCTTAAATTATAGAACATCGTAACACATTAGCTAAACCTGTTGCCTAGCATTGCATTAAACACGAGAGGACTTGAGTTCTAAACCCGAGGTAACAATGAATTCGGTCGGGCAGGGCTCAGAAGCCTGATCAATTCCTCTAACCTCTAAATAAAAAAGTGAAACATAACATCCGTATGATTGCACAAGGGGCACTCGATTTTACTACAGTAATTTAAATTTGTTTTAATTTCGCTAATAATATTGAAAAATATATTTTTTCTGACTCCTCTACCCTGACAAACTAACTATTACGTTTCCCCTTGCTACGAACCTAAATCCTTTCACGATCTTGACACATTGCTACACGAAATCAATCTACGCACAACATGGCAAACATATTTACATAATTTAAATGAAGAACTTTAACGGTTTAAAACGCGATATATTAGTTAAACTTATTTCGAAATGATTTTTAACTTCGCAAAGCATCCGAAACGTCGGGCCGAAGTTAAAAATCATTTCCAAATAAGTTTAACTAATATATCGCATTTTAAACCGTTAAAGTGTTCTATTTAAATGTGTACTACTCGCGTAAACTATAGATAGTATATTTACGTAATTCATGCCTAACGATTATTAGTACTAGTAGTAATACGAGTGGCATTTGCAGTCTCAAAAAGTGATGTCTTCTGAAAAATAAAGAACTTAAGCTGTACAATGATAAGCTTTCTTAACAATCAGAAACTACCTCTGCTGCCTGATATCTGGTTCTGATCATTTGACAAGCATCTTTGCCACATCTTTTGCACCCCACCCTAGTAATATCCGGCCTACAAAGTACATAAAAGTTCGCTCTTTTAAGTATTAATGGCTTGCGCAGCGTAATGCTTCATTTAATGGCAATCTTCCGCGCACTTAATCCAGGTCGTAATGGCTTCAGTATTGAAAAACAATCGACTGAGCCATATTATTGTATTGTGATGACGCGTGGACTATTAATTGGTATGTTATTGAAAATAATTGCTTATTTCATATCTGCATGCACATTTACCGAGTCGGGAACATCATCGACTTGAATCTTTAATTATCACTCGTTATATTGCACGTGAGAGGTATTTTTTAAAAGAGTGAATATGTGGAAAAGATATTTTCTCAAACGAAGCTTGAGCACAATCTTTTCACAATCTTCTTTATCAAAAAAAAATCTGGGATTCAAAACTCTGGATTCCAAAAAACAGCATACCGGCAAACGCGAAGACACCGTTAGTCAATTATGCACGGACCCGGCCAGTTTCGCCAAATACTAACTGCCGTCGACGGCACGGATGGCGCTAGCATAGCAGTTTTTTACTTTGCCGTCAGAGACACCCTTCATCTTTAGTCTCCCCGTGATCACGGCTGCTGCAAAGCAACCGTCAAAACGTCGGGCCGTAGTTATAAATAATATCAAACAAGTTCAAAGTTTTAAACGGCCAAAGTGTTTTTTATAAATGTGAACTTGCGTAAACTACAGACAATATTTAATATTCTTCGAGTTAAATAGTGTTATGAAATCTCGAATCTTACTTTTTCTTTTTTTGCCCATTACCAATACTGAATTTTCTGCCATAGCAGGATGAATAAAAGGTTTTATATACTCCAATAAAACGTCATTGCATTGTGCTAACATTGCCTAAATTTTAACTTAAATAGTGAAACAGGAATACAGCGCTATGTGCTTTATAGTAAATGACAAAAACGTATGTATATGTGTAGAGTACATTGCAATATACAACATACACTCGCCGCTTAATTACATCTTAAAATGTGGTAGAATTTCTCATTTAGCGAGACCAACACTCGACATGTACAGGGATATCCACGTCCGAAAATTAAATTTAATTATCTTTCTGTCCCTTAAACGCCACTCATGGAAAGAGAGACGTTTTTATAGAATGTCAAGTAGGTACTTAGAATAATTTGAACCCAGATTTCATTTAATTTTAAAATTTAAATTATATCATGTTTTTTTTTCAGTAGTCATACAAATTTAACTTTATATTCAGATTCTAAATTTTTGTGCCCTTTTCCAACATATAGAATTGTATTAAGTTAGAATTACAAACGTAATTTAATAATATTAATGAGTAGATCTTAGTTGTTCTGGTAATTGCTACACTCAGAAGCGCTGACCCGGGGAAAGAAGGGGTGAAAAAAGGTTTCTAAGTATATAAGCTATAGATATACCAGGATAATTAATATACCTTATACCTTTTAAACAAGTGACGTCGTCTTAAATTTAATGTCATTTACTTAACCCTTAGTATCATATATCGGCACCAGATTCCGAGCTCGTATGTCCAAATGATTTTGGAGCAACGGATGTGAAAACTTAGTAAGTAGTGATCTAATCAAACTTCTGGCCACGACTTCAAAACAATCAAGACGTTCAGAGATACAAATTGGATTAAATGGATTACCTTAGCACTACTTCTTGGAATTTTGATGATGTCTGTCGGTTGTAATGTTAAGTCAGATAACAGAGAAGTACTTTGATCTTGACCAGATCCTTGACAATGATATACTAACGGTCACGTTTTAATATACGTTAAAAACCGTTAAAAGACACCTGTGTCACTTTAAAACTGTAATGTGTAGGTATTAAAATATTAATATACATATGGGCAGAATGAATTACATCATTTTTTTTAAAATTTCGTTCTTTCAATTTTCCCGCAGTTTTTAATATAAATATATAACATAGAATAAGAGCATATAAAATTTTCATATCCCCGTCCCAAGCGAAACAAAAACCCCTCAATTCCGAACTGTGATATACGATATCAAACGTTTTACGACACCTTTCTTTTAGTCATACAATACGACCAATATTCGCGTAACGTAAGCCTAATATCTATAAAAATTTTATACCTTACCTTAGAGAACGGTTCCTCCTGCCGAAAGTCTTTTAGAAGGTCGTATAATATGCACAGAGGCACTACCATTATAGCTGGCTCTTTGCAAAGAGTCGCCGCCGTCGCGAATAAGAGCGTCCCAACCAATGTGCACCATTGGAGAAATTCACCAGCGTCCTCACTAGCACAACCGCTACATTGACACTTATTCAGTTGCACAGCCTCGTGAACCTCACACACATTCAACACTTTCAACGGTCCTGATTTGCTCGCTTTGAGCAGCTTTCGAAAATTCGTCAACAATTGTTGCACCAGTCCATGGCAACTGAGACGGAAGTTTTGGTCTTCGCCCTCAATAGATCGCGGTAGAACTTGCTTGTAGCTGTCTCTACATTGCCGCCGGCTTTTGTTTCTTATTCTTAGATGCTCCGTGTAGAGCAGGAAGCTGAGTAGAAAAAAATTGCACGCCGCCAAATCTGCTCTGCCCACAATACCGGCTACTGCTTCTGTATGTATCGGATGTGCAGCGAAAGATACGCCCGTGACTACTGTACCCACTTTCAAACAGTAAGTCGGCAGCAAACGCTTAGCTGTTATCACTACCAGCGCTGTCGCAGTAGAATGGAAAAGGACGTTGAGAAAATGATAGCTCCACGGCTTAAATCCACCAAAGGCATAGTTAAGGCGATACGTTGCGACACACAATGGTCTATAAGAGCCGTGGGATCCAGGATCAGTGAGCGGCGTTCCCCAAAAATCGTTTTCAAACAAAGCCTTTATCGGTGTGTGCCCAATGACGTCCGGATTCGAGAGGATCGCTCGTCTGTAAGAGAAATAAACAAACGTTAGATAGGAGAAAACTTGTAGACGATTTATGCTTCGTTATGTGGGTTATTTATTATAATTTGCAACAGATGCGCTGAACTACTTTTCTTCATGAATAGAAAAATGTATTGTGTAGGCTTTTATTATAACTATTTTAAATGGAATCTTGATTTTAATAGTTATAAATGTTATGGTTTGCTCTGGCTTAACTATGAAAGATAATAAAAATTGATAGTCAAATGGACATAGACAAACACAACAAATGAAAATATACACTTTTATTTATCTAAATATATAGACATAACCTTCCATATTACTCTCGTATTAGCTATCGTATAGCTATATGCATGTATGGATTACACGCAGATAGCTTAAAGCTAAAGAATTTGTTTGTTTGAACGCGCTATTCTCAGAAACTACTGGTTCGAATTGAAAATTTATTTTTATATTTGTTACATTTATCGAGGAACACCTCGCTACAACTTATAGGGGCGAAGTAACAGCGGGAAACGTGGAAAAAACGGGAAAAATATTCATAAATTATATAAAGACAAACGAAATATTCGAAAATAGAGTGAACCTACTATTATACTGTGTCATACTACTAGTATGAGAAAAAAAACGAATTTTGTGCCTTTTCTAACCGAATTTATGTTTGATTTTAACCGGTCCCTTATATACGCAAAACTTCGAAATACTCTCAGATAGAATATTCAAAATACCGACACGTGTTACAGTAATTCGGCGAACTCGGCTGTTCATATTACTTTACCACCTCCGAGACTGCGGCATTAATATAGTTTGATGCCGTTCGCGACGTACCAATCGTGACAGTCGCCGTCAAATGCCACGTGGGAATATCTTTATAAACGACATTCTGTCACGTAGGTGTGCTTTCATTAAGCTCGGGTCCTATATAACGTTCTTTATAGATTATTTTTATTAAAAAGGACAGGCAAGCATAGGTTTGTGGGAAACGTCGTGCGTTATCTTCATTTCGAATCATCTGAAGACTGTTGAGTAAATATTTGGATCCAACTCACCAAAATCTCCCGATAAATTGAATAGGATCTTAACACATTGGTTTTGATACAGACAAGCAGGGATTTCGCTAGATAAAAGTTAGTTAGCTCATCCTCAGCTATCTTCGTAACTAGATGCGACCTATTTTGGCTTTGTACATTCGGAGATCCGCATATTGAAATCGAAACACGATTAATCTCGTTTCTATAGACGGTGGTTCTCGACTTTCGATATTCCTACCATCCATTAAATAACTAGATTTCTAGACGAAGTTCAACATTTAAAAATCGAAAATAAATTGAAAAAATTTTCGACTCATGCAGGACTTGAACCGGCATCGTCAGCGTTCCGTGCTGTTGAACGAGTCGAAAAATTTTTCAATTTTTTTTCGATTTTTAAATTATATAGTGCGTTCATGTGCAATAACATGTGAAAAAAATTAAAGTTTTCAGAAGTTCAACATGTGTGAGAAAAATTGTAAGTGACTAGAAACATATTGGATTCGGATGGGACCTTATTAGCCGTACATTATGACAATTAGACCAATTCCGTGTGTTTAGAAAGAAATATGTTAGTTAAACTTATTTGTAAATTATTTTGAACGTTTCGGATACCTTGCAGCAGCCGTGGTCACGGCTTTAAATCAATAATTTTCAAACAAGTTTAACTGCAAAATATATCGCGTTTTAAACCGTTAACGTGTTTTATTTAAATGTAAACTACTCGCGTACCTACAGACATTATTTAAGAAATATACAGATGAATACAATCCTATAGACGAACGCGTTGGTAAATTTAATCGCGGCCTATAGCATTTATATGAAACCACAACCTTACAGTTGATTAAAAACGTTACTCGAATTAAATCGCTAATAGGTGGCGTGACTGTGTCCATCGTGACAATAATTAGTTATGGGACACAATTAACTTTAATAGAATTATTAAAAGTATTTAACGTTACAGAGAAATTAATCCTCTTTATGACACATTCAAATATAACTCTCATAGTGCAGAAGTAGGGGAAGTAATGGAATCACAGTACAAAATAAAAACTACCAAAACGACACTTCTCTATGTTTTACCTCCCTCTTGTTTCAATGGTATAACGCCTTGCGTTAAATGGAAAGACGAGTTCGAATCCTGGGATATAATAAATCAAGGCAAAGTAGTCTGACCAATTATTAATACTGTCTATAGTTTACGCGAGTAGTACACATTTAAATAAAACACTTTAACGGTTTAAAACGCGATATATTAGTTAAACTTATTTGAAAATGATTTTTAACTTCGTGACCGTGACACGTGTCTCCCCGTGACCACGGCTGCTGCAAAGCATCCGAAACTTCGGGCCGAAGTTAAAAATCATTTTCAAATAAGTTTAACTAATATATCGCGTTTTAAACCGTTAAGTGTTTTATTTAAACCAATTATGAATGTTCGTCTATCGTTTATATTAAACTGAACAAAATTAAGCTGTATATCAGATACAAAAAAGTGTCTGTGTAAAGAATTTACTATATTTGATTCACATACTATGTTACATATATACTCTCGTGCTAGTCACTTTATTGTAAACACGGTTTCTTTATCTACCAGATTCCAGCTATCAATCAATAAATCAATTGCGGCAATCGTCAAACTCATTTTTAAACTTAAATAAAACACTTTTAACGGTTTAAAACGCCAAATGTATTACTCAACTTGGTTCCAATTGATTTTAAGTACGCCCCGATGTTTCGGTGGTTGGTTTTTGAAATTAAAAAAAAATCGTAACTCAAAAATTACAAACGTAGGATTTTGAAATCGTATTTTTATTTTTTCTCGTTTTATATGTTGGCTTTAAAGATATCATACCCGTTCAACTGTTGTCCACGTTTTTGTGGCTTACAACAAACTAATATTTTTTTACTGATCTACATAACGCTGTAACCTTAAGGAATTTTCTATGCAACTAAATATTTATATTACGCTTAGATCTATAAAATGTTGTAAAAGACATAGTTTTTAGGTACATATAGTTAAAAAGGCGTAAGCCGTGATGAAGAATTGTCTTGCATTGATTTTTGGTAGACTAAAAAACTAATATTTTCCGTCATAGAAATACGAATACCAATCGACGCAGTATTTTTTCTAATAAAAATTATGTAAAAAACGTAATTTCGATTTTTTTAGGTTTACAGCAAATACTTTTTCTACGTCGATATTTTCGCGTTTTGAACCGTTAAAGTTATTTAACCTACTCGCGTAAACTACATTATTAATTAATTTATTTTTATCTCTTTCAAATTCTACAGTAATAAGACTAAAATATCCAAATTTGTAACAATGGAATTATTAAAAGTATCCCTTTGTCCTTTATAAGGCATGGAATTCTGTAAATCTTCCTCAAATAGATTAAATCTATTTCAAACTGCAAAAGCCCTTAAACGATGAAATACTTTAGCCGTCCTTCTGTGAGAACTGATTTCCGGCCCTATATTTGACGGTTATTGGATTTTGTATTCTTTTCGCCAGCCTTAAATCTATCGCTTATGAGTTTTTTTAATGATAAAGGAGGACAGACACCTGGTGGTTGGTGGTTCACTTGGTGGTAGGTGAAATACCTATTTTGCCTTTGAATAATCCAGGTTCGATTCTATGAACCGCAACGCGATTAAACTTGACGGATTTTTCATTTGTGTGACGCGGACGGAATTTCAAATTTCCAGCCGTTTAATATCCAGACAAAGTCCAAAATGTTTCAGAAAAAATATAAATTGGTTAAAAAATGTCCGACTCGGCGGGGATCGAACTCACGGCCCATTACCACAACGAGCACATATAATTGTGAATATATAGAGAATCGTCAAAGTCATCACATTAATTTTAATCTCGTTCACATATCAATCATATAAAGAATTTTATCTTTTACACAAAATAGATAGCACTAATTCTTTCAATTTGACCACACCTTTTAGCTTTAAACAACACGCACTTCGCAATAATCAATGACTGTCATTCATTCTAGAGAGTTCATGTTTTTTGTAAATTAGAAAATGACCTTGCGGCTAAACTACTAGGCCGATTTTAATGAAATTTTGCAAATATGCTCAGAACCAATAAAGCCACATTCTGTTACTAATAATTTAGTTTTCATAGTGGTATTAAAATTTAAATAATAATTATTTAGAATGTTTTTGACCTCTTTATGCTCTACATACAAGGTACCACGTGATAGACCGTTTATTTTAACAGAAACTAATAACTTTCCTCTATTAAGGCCTGGAATATTAATGAGCTTAACTAACGGTAGAATTCGAGGTCCCTATAATTTATCCTTAATTCATCCCCTTTTATTGGAAACCGTAAAATCTGGTTATTACATCTAAATTAATAATACAGATAATAATAGTCTGTATCATTAATATAGAGGTCATAAGGATGTAGAACATTTAATTTCTAATACTTTAATCTTTTAAATATAATTTATCGAAGACCTGTTGAGGGACACCCATAACAAACCATGGACGATACCCCCGTCATGACCTACTTGAAAATTAATAATCTATACTAATATATAAAACTGAAAAGGTTTTTTTGTTTGAACGCGCTGATCTCAGATACTACTGGTTCGAATCGAAATTCTTTTTGTGTCGGTTAGAGCATTTATCGAGTAAGGTTATAGGCTGTAAAACATCTGTGACTGAAAAAAACGGGAAAAATTCTTCATCTCCGTGGGTTTCCAATGCGTACGCTGCAAAAACGGTTTAAAGTACCAAAAAAAAGTGGAACAGACTGATTCTTTTTTTAAATAATCTAAAATGCAAGAACGACGTGACGCGTCCGAGGTCGTGGGTATAAGCTTAAACTTTTAAACATGAAAAGGAGGTTTGCAAAAACAAATTTGGATACCCAAAATTACTATTCTACTCGGATGAAATCACTGACACAACTAGTGCAGGTATAATACGAAGTTTAACTGATTTAAAGTTGTTT